CATTGCCCTCCATGACCATTTCATCTGGGGCTGGTGGCTGCCTGCCCTTCAAAAGGAACCCCCCACATAAAGCCTCACCTTGCTTTGGGTCAGTGGTGGTGAACCTATGGCATGCGTCCCAGAGGCGGCACTCGGAGCCCTCTCTGTGGGCACATGTGCCATTGCCCCAGCCTCGCCTCCCCCTGTGACCCCCTCCTCACCAGCAGCCCCCCTGGAGGAGAGTTGCCCCAGAGCGTGGCCCACGTGGAGCAGCGCAGCCAAGGACATGGCAGCCAGGCAGCGTAGACAAGACTCTGCCCTCACGCCCCATCGCGCACAGTTGATGCTGCGGGGCATGGGCAGAGGGCGTGGTGCTGCTGGGCTGCCTGGGCGATCTGCGGCGGGCCCTGGAGGTGGTGAGGGGCGGGAGATGGGATGGGGGCAGAGCGGGGGCAGGGAGTGGAGCAGGGGCGGGCCCAGTTTTGGGGCACTTGGTCTCTAAAAGGTTCACCATCACTGCTTTAGGTCTTACTTGGACCCTTTAGCTATATAAATGTATCAGAGTTTTGGAATATAAATATATTATTTACCATAATTTCTTTGTGTTCCTGATAAATGATTCTTGTAATGTATTGATTTCCTGGCTATGTATACAGAGTTCATCTGTATGTGATTTATTTTTACATTAATCTATCCAATTCTGCGACTTGAAAAAAAATGATGCATACACAGCTTTGAGAAAGTGTCCTCTCTCAACCGATTGCATCTGTTTTAGACAAGAACTACTGTAATTATTCAGTGTGGCTAAATAGATTCCCACCAGACCAGCTTTCAAGGGCTTTTTGGGGTGGGAAGTGGGGGGGGGAATGCTGATGAAGCTTTTAAGGAAGCAACAGAGTGATTACTCTGCTACTGATCTCATACGTGCTCATTCTCAGGTTTTTTTTTATTGGAAGAATTGTGAGTTGTCTCTTATGTGAGAAGATCACATTATGGCAAGATCATATATCAGTATATTGCCTTGCATTTAGACGACCCTACGGTTTCTTGAATTCTCCTTCAAAAGAACTAGGAAGACCTCTGTCTCAGAATAGGTACTAGCCCAAATAGCCCAGCAGTCTGAACTTGATTCAGTAAGCTTGATCTGTTCAGATGCAATTCTAGCCTCTCCCCCCAGTAGAGGCTGAGATCACTACTTGGCCCAACTAGATGGTGAGAGAGAGTTAAAATGCACTGACTATACCAGGGGTAGGCAACCTTGGCTCTTTTATGACTCATGGACTTCAACTCCCAGAATTCCTGGACTATACCATCTGTCTGCCCTGCCTGCTACCTGCAGAAAATACAGTTTCCTCACACATTGAGGCCTCCAGCAGAGGATTACCCAGGATTGCATCAGTTGCTTGAGCTCAAGAACTCATCCTTGGTGGGCTTGCTGCCAAAATTTTGCTCCAGAAAAAAAAAAACCTGCTCCTCTCGGTGATCTTAGGGCCAAGGGCATCCCACTTTCAATGTTTGTGTTTTGCTAAACCAACTTTTATGAACTGTTAAAGAAAAACACAAATTAACAAAGAACTGAGCAAAATAATAATAAAGGGAGGGCAGAAATCCCTTTGTATTATTGTAGTCTTATCTATATATGTTTAAATAAATAGGACCTGGGGCCTGGTTGTTTGTGGAACAGCCTCTCCCTGAGGTGGCTGCCCATTCCACCAGGTTAGATGGAGTGAGCACACTACAGAGCCCTTCCCTTAAATATTGCCATTTGGTGTGACGTTAGCGAGATGACTTTTACATGGCCAGCCCTGCCCTTTGGAATGGCCTCGTCCTTGAAATTCAGAGAAGTCACCTTATTAGCCTTCCAGAGGGCTGTGAAGACCCATCTCTTGGTCCAGGATCGAAACCAGGGTAGTAGTTAACCTAGAAAATATAAAGGTGTGTAGAGCTTATGGAATATTGCAGTGCTGTGATAGAGAAATATGATTTGGTTTGTTTTATTCTGCTTTTACTGAGTATTATTGTGAGCTGCATATAAGATAATCGTGTATACAATGGACAGATATATAAGTTTCCAAATAAATAGGAAAACACATCTTGGGCCATGAAAAAAAAAGAGAAGTAGACTGATGACTAAGCCTCATTTCATTTCAAGTTATAGCCTAATCGAGGAAGTCAAGATGACAGTCATGGTGGCTTCTCCAACTTAAAAAACAGGTTAGTTGCTGGTAAAACATACTTTATCCAATACTTAAACCTGAATGATAGTGCTGACCTGGTGTGTATTTCAGATAATTGTTTAAGAGAAGAAGTTAGAGTTCAACTCTGCCAGATTTGTCTTCTGAGTTATTCTATAGCATAACAGGCTGAAAATGAAAAGTTTGAAGGTGAATGACCATAAGCTATAGAAATTCCATCTTGCTGATGAGATGTTTCATTTGGCACATTGCCAAATGCTGTGTTTGGATGGGGAGGGTACCATTGAGATTGTAATACAGTGCTGGATACTACTGTAAGCAGCCCTTAACCATAATGAATAGGCTCCCTTTTCCTCTCTCTCTAGTGAAGTTTCACTATAACAAGTGAGGGGTTAGGAAGTAGATATCTGGGGCATAGTGTTTTGTACAAGTCATTTATTTCTCCTCCTGGAGAAAAAAAAAATCTCAGAAATAGAATGACAGAAAACAAATGTCTGCTTCAAGAAAAGAGTTGCAGACCATGGTGAATGTATTACTGGGGATCTCTTATTCATGGATCCCAAGGCAGAAGTGTTGCTATAGAAACCACAGCATATCCCTTTCTGCCAGCTGGAGAAGACTTGTGGTTAACAACATGGATGGAGTGACAGACATGTGGCACAGTAATAGATGCGCTCAGGTGGTCTATGAGATAGTTGCAGAAAGAGAAAAGGGGGAACCAAGTAGCATTGGCACAACATGCTGATTAAACCAGGATATCCAAAGTAGCCCAATTATTTCAGTTTCTAGAGCACATGGAAGCACATACCAGCCAATCACATTTTACAAAGTCTAAACAAATAGCAATGCTCATTGCCTTTATTCTTTTTCTTTACTGGAGTTCCAATGCTTGCTGCATTCTTGGTTAATCTTGGGTTATGTAAGATTCCTTCTCTACATTCTATGAGAGTAGCTGCAATGAAATATGTTTTGTAGTAGCAACTATAAACCAAATGGTGTAGCTTGAGCCCATTAGGAAGTAGGCATAATTATGTGCTATAAGACACCGTTGGTGGTAGATTTCCTTTTTCACATAGTGCCATTGATTTGTTAATCATATTTCCTTCCCAATTCTGGGAGTTGAAGTCCACAAGTCATAAGAGGGCCAAGTTTGAAGACCCCTGATCTAAAGAAAAACAGAAAAATCCAAGCCTTAGTGACATGTGCAGTAAAGTCTCTATTTGCCTTGCCTACTCTTGTTTTCCCTTCCTCCTCCTGACAAATGTTGATGGTAGCCTTAGGCATAAAAAGTTCTAAAGCCTTTCTTTGGCACCAGTCACTTGCTAGACAAGATGGAAACACAACTCCTAATGAGATGTACATCTAGCTTATATATTAATAATGTGATGCCCTACCACAATCAGTCAAACAACTATGAGATTTTAGAACTTTCAAGAGCATCCTATCCTTTTCATAACAGAGGTCACAATAATTTAAACAGTTCAGTGACTGAGAGAGAACAAAATGAATTGCTTAGCTAGACAGAAAATGAAAATAGGCAGAAAGAAGCATGCAAAGCAGGGGTATCAAACTGCCGGCCGGATGCGTCATGCCAAAACTGCGCCCACCCCATTGCCGGCAATGGGAAAAAAATCACAATACATCGCGACACGTCACGTGACATTGCGAGTTTGACACCTGTGATGTAAAGCTTATGATGCTAAACAATTGCAGGGGAAAAGTATGAGGTTGAATGCAGATTTCCATTTCTTGAGAACTTCAGTTTTCATATTCAAAGTGGAAAAATGTAACTCCTTTTCATGTGAAAATAAGATCTAGAAAACAACAGATAATGAGAATTCCAGAGCCATATGAAGATTACAATGAAGTTTAAGGAAAAGAGTCTACACTATCATACATAACTATTATTCCAATCCACTATCTATAGAATAATTATGCAAACCAAGCAAAGGCATTAAAATCACTAAATTTGATTAATTAATATAGACTGTGGAATTAATCACATGCTATGGAATGTGAGTCTCTTTACTGTTTCTATGTAAACTTAAGAAACCATATCTTAGATTTACATTAGCACAGCAAATTAATCTTACTTTTTTTTTTTAACCATTTCTTCTTTGGCACTGAGTGCAGCTATGTGACAGCTGGTATTGGACTTTCACCAGATCAAAAAAGAATTCTGGAAGTGGGAGCAGTCTCAGAACTTTCCAGAGAAACACTGCAACCCAAAGCCTTAGAAATAAGGGTGAAGAGAGCTGCCAAGCAGCTAGCTTGCTTGTGAGCTTGTGAGCTCCTGCAAGAGGAAATAAACGTCAGCTGAGTTCTTTCCCTTGCTCTGGCAGCTCCGCCTCTCACAGTCCCTCCCCTGAGTTCGAGCTGGATCTTGTCCCTCTATCATGGGGATGCAGGGAAGGGAGGGTGCAGCTCCCACTTAAAGCTGTTGATCCCCTCCCCTTATGATGCCACTAACTGAGCCAGCCTGGGCAACGAAGCTGAGCTACCAGCTGAGGAATCAGCTTGGGAAATGGGTCGTCAACGCTAGATGAGATGCTTGCCTCCAGTTCCTGTTTTTCAAATAGCAAGTTTCAGGACCAAGGATAGCACCACACACTCTGCGTCTATTTCCCCACCGCAGGCGCCACCTCAACGCAGCAGACTAAATTCCGCCCCCGCTGGCAGCGGCTTCGAGATTTGAGCGCTTCCTCTGACTATAACACCAGGGACAGCGCCTTTTCTGGGAAACCAGTCTTCTTCCTCACCAAATTGCTATCATCACAGCTTCAGTCTCCCGTGTGGAGGAACAGCATTGAGCCACGTTGGTGAAACATGGCAACTGAGGTGAGCAACGCCGGCAAGGTAGAACACACATGTACTGGAGCTATGGTTCTGCCGAATCATTGGAGCCGCAGTCAGCTTTTCCTGGTTTGTGCTTGTTCTCTCGGATGCTGCAGGAAGCTTTAAATCAATCACCCTAATGTTAGCTGTTATTGGTTGTTGTAGCTCCATGTTCCTTGGTTTGCTGTGCTAAGGGTCGCTTGCATTTCCCGAGTTACTGATTTTTTTTGCAGCAATTGTACAGGTTAAAGAAAGAAAGGAAGTAAAAAACAACAACCCCCTGATGGTCTCCGAGGGCTAAGAATACCATCACTCACTACAAAGTTAATTGTCTGATTTCCAAGCCCCCCTCCCGTGGAACCAAGGCAGGCAATTGTTAAGAGGAGCAGGTGGCCCTTTGCTCAGCTGTGAATCAATGGGTTTCCCTGAACACATGGGAGACACACATAGACAGAAAATCAGAAGCCCAGGGGAGCCCTCCTCAGTTGGAGTGTGCTAGCAGCCCGGTCAATAGCCATGCTTGTGGGTTGATAGTTATTGTTGTGTTATGAATCTGAAGGGAACAAGGTTGGGTAAGGTTGCTTTATGTCTGATGCTTTGGATCTGGTTTCAGTTATACCTTTTGTGAATAGGAAAGAAAGAGATACATGAGCTATGATTTTCTAGAATAAATGGAAGCTCCATTATTCAGATTAATCAATTATGGACTAGGAGGCAGGTCCATAATATGATTTTTGTTGTTGTTGTTAAAATAAGATAAAAAATGCTATAGGAGAAGAAGGGAAAGAGATTTTTGAAGTGTTTTCTCTAATGGTGCTATATTCTGGTTTCATAACTCTTTTCAAGTCAGCCCCTATCAAGAACCCCATCCTTCATTGATTTTTTCACAACCATTATTGCTCTTGCTCCATATTTCCCATGTTCCCATTTCAACCAGTAAAATCCTGTTTGTCAATAAAAGATGCATCCCTGAACAGGAGAATTAATCAGAGTCAGAGCACAAATAGCTAAAAGCTTGCTTGTTGCTAAGGGAAGGGCAACAGTTCCTGAGGGCATAGGAGGGCAGGTGCCAAGAAGCACAAAGGACTTGTTAAAGACTCAGTGAGATATCCTTAGACCATTAAATAAAGAAAGCACAAAAATACACAAATTCTCTCTCACTACCATCACCCCATTTACAAAGTAATAGATAGTAGTTTTTATAGTTATCTAATTTCAATTTTCTTCCACTCCTAAAGTAATTAATTTCAGTCTTCAATTTCTGATCTTGGAAGTTTTCCATTTAAGCACAGAATAAGATAAACATCAGGTCCAATTTCTGTTGAGAGAAATCAGGGTTGCTTTCAAATTTAGTACATCTGTTAGTTGTTGTTGTTATTATTATTATTTGTTTTATCATAGAGAATAAATACAAAACAGTAAAACAAACAAAATGAAACAAAGTGATCAATTAAGTTTAATATTTAACATTTAATATATAGGATATGCACACTGACTGGGTGCTGAAAGAAAAGAAAAAGCAGTAAATTCTCCTCCCCTTTTACACACACACACACACACACACATACATATGTGTGTGTATGTATAAGAAGAAAGAAGAAAAAGCAGTCAATAGGTTGAGCTAAACATTACACTAATCTTCAAATCCCTCTGTTAACCATCTGTTATTATATTTAGGGTGTAGAAAGTCTACAAACGGTTTCCAGTCTGTCTAGTCCAGGCATGTCAAACTCGCAATGTCACGTGATGTTGCATGATGTATCACGACTTTTTCCCCATTGCCGGCAATGGGGTGGGTGCAGTTTCGGTATGACGCATCCGGCCCGCGTGCCAGCAGTTTGACATGCCTGGTCTAGTCCATTATCTCTAATCAAAGCAGTTAATTTCACCATCTCTGCTAGTTCAGTCAATTTCAAAATCCAAGTCTCCATTCACCACGATTCAAGCTTTCTGGAGTGTATAGATGGGCTTCAGGCCCTGTATAAAGCCCAATCTAAAACCCATCTTTTCCATTACTTTAAACATAGAGGCCCAGTTCAAGTTGTCAAAAGCTTTTTCTGCATCCGGAAAGACTAATGCAACCTGTTTGTCGCTACGTTGTAAATATTCAATTGTATTCAAAATTATTTTTACATTATCTTTTAGTTGTCTTTTAGATAAGAAACCACACTGGTCTTCAGGTATATAATCCTGTAAAACGTTTTAAAGTCTTTCAACTAAAAGAGATTATTAAGGAGAGAAATTGGCATGTAGTTCTTCACAGAAATTAAATCCAGTCCATCTTTGGGTATTAAAGAAATGTAGGCATTCTTCCAAAAGTCTGGTACAAGGTTCCCCTATAAGATAGAATTCATTAAGTCCTTCATCAGAAGAAGTAGTTGATCTTCAAAAAATTTATAGAATCTGCGTGATAAGTTATCTAGTCCCAGAGCTTTGCCTGTTTTAACTCTTTTAATTGCTTCTATTATTTCAAAAATTGTTATTGGACTATTCAAAATTTGTTTGTAGTTTTCCGATAGTTTAGGAAGATTTTTATTTGTTATATACTCCTCCATAGTAACTAAAGAGATTTCTTGTTCTTTATATAAATTGGTATAATAATTCCAAAAAAATCTTTGAATGTTTTTGTTATCCATATAAGTCTTATTTCCCTCATGAAGCTTGGTTATCATCTTCTTTTCTATCTTCTTTTCTTTGTTTGTATGCCAACCATCTCCCTGGTTTATTTGCATGTTCAAAAAAGTGCTGTTTTGTATATTTTTTATTTTCAATGTCTGAAACAGTCAACAAAGAAATTTGTTGTTGCAATAATTTTAGTTGATTAAGTATGTTAGGATGTTCTAGTGCATTCTGGAGTACAGCCAGAAAGTTTTTGGAAGAAAAATAATGGCTTTAGTTGCTTTGTGAAGCAGATTTTTTGTAATCCAAATCATATCAGTTCTAGAAAAGGATTTGTGTCTCTCCGAAAAGAATGTAAAGTCTTTTGTTAGTCCACATTTACACCTCCAAACATCAATCAAACCTAAAGTATGGGTCAGCTTGAAAAAAGTTTGAGGCAGTTTCCCTTGTGTTTCTTTAATTCCTTTATCACCTGATCTATCCAGTTGTGGGGTTACTACCCCATTGTAATCTCCAATTACACACCAATACTGAAAAGAATAGGAGAGTAAGTGTTCAGACAGATGTTTAAAAAACTTGGCTTTTTCTTGATGTGGGGTGTATAATCCCAACACAATAGATTTTATTCCCTGTAATTCAATTTGCACAATTACATACCTGCCTTGATCATCAGCAAACAATAAATGTGGATGTAGTTGGGGTGTTATATACAAAATTACCCTGTTTTTTTTTCTTTGAGTTACCAGAAATAAATTCCAGGCCCAAGATGTTATTTGTTAAATACTTTTTATCAGTCTCTTTAATACAAGTTTCTTGCAAATGTATTATATCATAGTTCACTTTTTTCAAATAATGAAATAACTTTTTTCTCTTTTGTCAAAATCTTGCAATCCATCTATTATGAAGAGGAAGTTCCAGGGATTCCAGCTGAGGCTCCCATCTCCACAGCCTGTCTTTGATAAGCGTCAAACCTCTTTTTATCTTTTCCTTTCTGATCTTTATCTTTTGAAAAATAGTGTAGTTCCAATCCATGTTTTTCCAAAAAATCTTGTGCTTTAAGGACTAAGTTTAGTCTATACCATTGATTTCTAAAGGTAAAGATAACCCCTTCCAGCTTATCCCAGTGAAAGAGAATATTATTTTGTTTCAGGAGATCTGTCAGGAAAAAAAATATTCTTTGCATTTCCTTAATATTGGAATTGAAATTTCTCTGAATAGAAATCTCTTTTCCAGAAATGTTAAATCTCTGGTGGTAATGTTTCTGAATTACTTGTTCTTTAATATATTTTCTTATAAACTGGATCATAACATCTCTTGGCAGTTTTCTTCTTGCTGCATATGCTGAATTTATTCTGTAAATCTTATCTATTTCTTTAGAGAAGTCTACTTTCCCATCATTAAACCATTTAGTCATTTTTGTTTCAATTACCTCTCTTAAGTTGCGAATAGTTTTCTAAATACTTAGGAAGTTTTATTGAACTGGATGATCTCATATTTAAACTAATAAAACTTGTTGGACCTTTAAGAACATAAAAATAGCTTCCCTGGCCCATTTTTGTTTAACATTATGATGTCATAACCTGTTATTTCATTTTGAACCATTTGGACTCCTAGGGCCAAGCAACATACAATGTGAGAAATAGACTTAAAGGCAGAACTGAGTCTTCAACACTAATATTTCTTAAACTGCCCACTATGAATTGATTAAATAGCCATAATGTCATGGTAATGCTAATGAATTTTATATAAATTTATATTAAATTCAATGCATCCTATTTTCAAATCATATTGCTTCTGCTCCAAGCTTGATATCATCCACAACCTTAGCCAATTCAATGCTTTTAATGCAACCACAGGCTAAGAAATTGAGTCTTATAAGAGATTGTTATTAAGTGAGGTCTTACAATGCAGAGGTTTCCCTCTATGGATGATGGGAAGTTTAAAATGAAATAACCCTTATTAATTTAGGCTTATCCTGTTTAATCCTGATTGTATTTCAATAAGTTGTATTCACTTGAAGGCTATTTATATGTACAAATATAGAGACAAAAACATATATTTATTTTTTAATATAAAGTATCCAGTAACATATCATATTTGGTAACATAATGCTTGAACATCTTCATTCAACTTGTTAATTTAAATTATTTTCTGTTTTGTGACCTTAGTTAACAAAAGACCCCCCTCCCACTTAATAACCATATATTAGTCTAAGTGTAGATAGCTAAACATATTTCAGTGTGTTGTGAGAAAATGATCTTTACATTGGACTCAAATATAAATAACTGAGATTGAAATCCAGTTGTATCGCCA